AGTTGACGCTGGTGGGGGTGGTGGGCGGGTCTGGGCCCTCCTCCTCCTCCCCTCTGCTCTCCTGCCGTTCTCCCTGGCCCCTCGGAGGTGGCAACTGGGTGTTCTTGCCCCCTGCCAGCCAGAGTGCTGACCTGAGCCAGAAGAACCAGGGGACCACGCTGCCCCACAGAGAGCCTAGTGGCTTCCGGAGGGCACTCAGCAGCTTTCCAGCAAGAGCGAAGGGCACTAGCATCCACATGGTGACCGGGTGCCTCGGGGCTGCACGGAACCTGGGGATTCTGTTTATATGCGCTGGGCCAGCCTATCACACCGACGGGACGGACACACCTCTGACCGAGTCTCAGCTGAGCTCAAGTTTCGATTTTCCTGTTCATGAAATTGAAAGCTGGAACAGCGCCAAGACCCGAGGCTCAGGATCAAGCCAGCAGCTGACTCTCTGCCTCAACTTTCACCTATCTTCTGGGTCACCAGAGGCTTCTAACTGGATACAGATCGAGGCCTTCTGCCCATCTGTATCTCGGTCCCACAGAGAGCGGCAGCCTGGAGAGATACAGTCCCCACTTCAGAGGCATTGCTCATGCATGATACCACACGCGGGGGCTCGGCCGGGCGTCCTGCCCGAGCACCCTCCCTGCCCCCCCCCCCGCCCCGCACTGACTGCTTGTTATGAAAGTCAAAGAATGCAAAGTATGACTGACCTGTGCAGGCTGAGGACAGAGCCCACACGCCTCGGGGCCCCTTTTGGATCACAGTCAGAAAAAGCACAGGCACTAATATATATCCTTCATCTGCCTTTAATTATTCATCGTCTGTATTTTCATAGTGCCGAAATGTAGACATTTATGTTTTCCTGCATATTTATTATGGGTTTTAAGATTTTATTTATTTATTTATTTGACAGACAGAGATCACAAGTAGGCAGACAGGCAGGTACAGAGAGAGGAGGAAGCAGGCTCCCTGCTGAGCAGAGAGCCCCGTGTGGGGCTCGATCCCAGGACCCTGAGATCATGACCTGAGCTGAAGGCAGAGGCTTAACCCACTGAGCCACCCAGGCGCCCCTATTTATGGTTTATTTTTAAATAATCTCTACACCCAGCATAAGGCTCAAACTCATGACCCCAAAATTAAGAGTCACTCCCTCCTCCGACTGAGTCAGCCAGGTTCCCCACTTCTATTTTATTTTTAAAAGACGATAGAAAGGGACGCCTGGGAGGGCTCAGTCAGTTAAGCGTCTGCTTTTGGCTCAGGTCATGATCCCAGAGTCCTGGGATCGAGTCCTGCATTGTGCTCCCTGCTCGGCGGGGAGCCTGCCTCTCTTTCTCCATCTGCCTCTCCCCCAGCTCATGCTCTTTCCCTCTCTCTCTCTCTCTCTCAAATAAATATAGAAAACCTTTAATAAAAAAAAATAAAAGACCATGGGAAAATCAGATGCTTTTCTAAGATGGTTCTTAATTGTCAAGAGGTACAAGTGGCTTCTTCCTTATTTTTATAGTTTCTTAGAAAGGACTGTCAAATTTTGTGCTGAAACTTATTTTTCCTTGAGTTTTTTTTAATCAGAGCTGAGTTTGAGCAGGTACTTTCAGGTTTTCCTGAGACCTGTGGAAAGTTGCAACAGTCCTAATGGGGAACCTTCTGGCACCAGGAGCCCAGCTCACCACTTGCTATGTGACTTTGGTAACTTATGTTATTTCTCTGGGTCTCCATTGCCTCGTCTGCAAATACTGGTGTCTCCTGGGACTTATTGTGTGAAGACTGAAAATTCTAATGGATGGAGAATCACATAAATTGGGACATTGTCTAGCAGACTATAAGTGTTCAGTTCGGGATAGCTATTGTTTTTCCAGTAGTGTTATGTTCTGAATGGAAACAAAGATGACTTTCATTTTACTTAGGAAGGAAACTGAAAGTAAATTCAGCAAAACAGCAAGCCAATGTGTAATGATTTCCAATTATGCACTGGTGGATAGAATCCAAGTGGAAATCATCTTAGCCAAAAGCATTGTGAAATATCACTATGATATGATTCAGTCAAGAAATACCTTTTGTTTTTCTTTCTTGCTAGATCACATGTATATGAAGAAACAAAACCAAGTCAGTTTACATCTTGAACTGAGTATTAGGTATGGCACAGAGGGGAGCCATGCAGGCTTTTCAAGCCAAACATTATAAGGTATGAATCCTAGTTCAGCCAGAAGTGTTTAATTTTGGGTAAATTTCTTTATTTGCCTGGTCTGATTAACACATATGGGAAACATGGATATTAATATCACACTCACACGGGGCATTTTCAAGATTAAATGACATAACCCTATGTTAAGCCCTGAGAGTACTGCCGGCATAATAAATTAGCAGTGGCCAGCTTACCATCCAGCACTGAGGACCAGGCACTGCTCTGAACTTTGCGTGCACTAACTTCTTTTATAATTTGGGAAACTCATGTCACAGAGGGAGTAAATGTTTGAACTTGGATTTAAACACCTGCCTCACTGCTCAATGACTGATCATTATTAGCACATTATTTTATTTTTTCATAAAATATTAATAAATATTAATAAAATAGAAATAAATAAGTCAAAGTCTTTTCCAGCAAAGAACTCACAAAAGTCATGGAACAGATGCTCTATTCCTTCCACCCAGTCTTTTCCCCTCCATTTAAGAGTAAGATTCAGGACTGGTAGACTGTCTTATTCAAAGTCATGGCTTGCACAGGCCAGGGAGGGATTTCTTCTTCCAACTGCTCAGACAGGTATAGGCTGGAGGAGGTACAAGGCAGCCCCCCTTAGGCCTTCTACTTGGGAGTTGGCCAGCTCTAAAGACATCCAAATTGCAGCTGGAAACCAGCCAAATGTCATCATCATTTTTCTTTAGCCGGAGACTTTTTCCTCCAAACGATGCACATCCTTAATGTACCCCATGCTCCCTGAGGTGGACCCTTTCCTGCAGGATGTCCCAGCAGCGGCTGCAACCCAGTAGCAGATGGTAGAATCCGTTCAGTTATTTGCAATCATCATAACATTTGTGTGCAAATCTCTTACTGGGGCCTATTGGACATCGGTGCCTACCTCAACTACCGTACGTGCAATGAGAGGGGCACAATCCGTAAGTGCACAGCACAATCAGCTCTTGGCAGAATGAACACATGGGTGGAAGGAGTGCCTTGATCAAGAAATCGAATGTCACCAAGAAGTCTCCAAGATGCTGAAAAGAAATTAAAAAAAAAAAAAAAAAAAAGAAGTCTCCAAGACTTTCCCCCGGCCCTGACCCAAAGATAACCCTGCCCTGTTTTCTGAAAACCATCCTCGAGGTTATCCCAGCACGCCCTCGCTCTGTTAGGCTTCTCTCCCTGTGTTGTGTTTGCAAGCTCACCCACTCTGCTGTGTCCAGCAGCAGACTGGTCAGTGTCAGACCTCACATTTGTTGATTCCATTGTTTGTGTCATTAGGACGGATATTTGGAATATCTTGCTATTGTGCCACGCATTTTCTTGTACACGTCTTTTGGTTGACATATATGTATGCATTTATCTTGGGTATATACCGGGATTGGAATCACGGGTTCATACAGTGTACGTGTGCTTCCAGAGAACTTGAACCAATCTGCACTCCTGCCAGAATACTATACATGTGGGAACATCTCTGCACGCTAAGTGCCCCAAGTCTGATTGCTCACTGAGGGTAAGAATGATCCCGTTCTCAGAGAGCTAAAAACAACTGAATCTCTGAATGGCTCCTTGTCTATTACCCCATACTTCAACCATGTATCTATAATAGTTCCTGTTTGTCTGAAAGTTGTATTCCTTCCAGAATTAAAGGTATACCCGTGCTAACTCCAAATTGCTTAAATGATAAAATTTATTTGCCCTCAGTTCATCTAATGTTTTTCATCATTATTCTAAATGTTTGAGTTTTCTCCACAGGATTTTTGTTTTCAGTCCCCTTGGCAATCTTTTTTTTTTTTTTTAACTGAAGATTTTATTCATTTGTCAGAGAGACAGAGAGAGTGCTCACAAGCAGGGACACTGCAGTCAGAGAGAGAGCAGGCTTCCCGCTGAGCAAGGAGCCTTGATCCTGGGACTGGATCCCAGGACCCTGAGATCATGACCTGAGCCAATGCGGTTATGGAAGCCAGGACCCTAATGACCTGAGCTTAAGGCAGAAGCCGCACCGACTGGGCCCGTCCTGTGTTGCTGCTTTGCAATCCTCCTCCAAGGTGTCAGCTAATGAGCAAAAACAAACACCGGGGCAGCACTGCCGCCGACGCCGGCTTCAGGCTGGTACAGCCTGTCCCCACCAGCGAACTGGACCCGAAGGCAGGACTTCACTTGGCTCGCGTGCAAATCTGGCGATACGTCCTAGTGTGCAAGTCAGCAAGGGTGGGGGCAGTAATTCCAAGAGGAGGGAGAACGTCCCCGTTCAGCCCGTTAAAGCAGCCACAGGACTTCGGTCAGAGTGCGGGCGAGACAGCTGGTCAGGGGGGCCTGAGGCCCACTACGGGGCCACGGGGTCTGCAAGTCCTGCGGCGTCGGGAGCCGCACCGCCCTGAAGAGCCGGCGGGGGAGGGCGGGGGCAGCCAGAGAGCCCCGCTAACACGCCGAGCTCGGGCGCGCGCCGTCGCCGAGACACACTCGCACACCCGCGCGCGCACCCCCGGGCCGCAAACCTCAGCGGAGGGCTTCGCGCGGGGCTTGGGGCTACCTGACCCCAGCCCGGCCGTACAGGGCGCCCGGCCGAGCGCACCCTCGGGGTGGCCGCCGGGACCGCGCGCCCCGCCTGCTCCTGTCCCCTCCCCGCCGCCGCCGCCGTTCGGGGCGCGCCCCGGGAGCGGGCGGCGGAGGCCGCGGAGGGCGCCCCACCCCGGCCCGGCCCCGCCCGGCCCCGCCCGCCGGTCACTTAGCTTTCGTTTCCCCGGTGGCGGGGGCGGGACCGGACAAGCCCATGGCCTCGGGCCTCCGCCCGCGCTCCCCACTTTCGCTCGGGCGCCTCCCGGGGCCGCGTCGCAGGGCCTACTCTCGGGCCATGGCGCCGCCGCGCCGCTTGGCGCTGGAGCTGCCGGGCTGCGCGCTGGCTCACTTGGCCGTGGGCGGCGTCGCCCCCGACGCGCTCCCCGACCCCCGCGTGGCCGCGCTGCTGGGCCCGCCCGGCCGCAGCTACTCGCTGTGCGTCCCGCTGGCGCCGGGCGGGGACTGCGCGGCCCGGGTGAGGGCGGCGCGGCTGCACCAGCGCCTGCTGCACCAGCTGCGCCGCGACCCCCTCCGGCGGTGCCAGCTGCGCCGGCTGCTGTGCTACGGCCCCGGCGGCGGGGCAGGTGGCGTGGAGCACGGCTTCCTGCTCCACGACCCCGGCGACAGCCCGGACACTCGGCGTGCGCTGTTCTCCCTGCTCGGCGAGTCCCCGGAGGGCCCGCGTCTGGGCGAGTTCGTGGGCGACGCGCAGCAGCAGGTGTGGCAGCACCTGTGGGAGCTGCGGGACGGCGCGGGCTGGCAGCAGGTGGGCCCCCGCGAGCGCGTCGTGGCCGCCCCGGAGCCCGCCCTGCACCCGGTGCTGCCCGACCTGCCCAGCTCCGGGGTCTTCCCGCACCGGGAGGCCGCCCGCGCTGTTTTGGAGGCGGTAAGAGTTCTGCCCCTTCCCTGCACTCGGGGTGCCCCCCTCTCGCCCCCAGACAGGGAGTGGACTAGGCGCGCGCTCTCGGGGTTGGCCTACCCAGCCTGGCCTCTGTCGCCCAGGGAACTGCATCCCAAGACACAGGACCTATCAGGCCGCACAAGTGCCAGACTCTGGCTTAGACACTGGGGATTTTTTCTCCACTCTTGGCCGCCAGGAACTTCCTATTCCAGGTGGGAACTGAGGTCCCAACGCCACGCTCGGCCAGGCCTGCTCTGTGGGCGTGCTGAAGGCACCTGGGGAGGAAAGAGGTTGCTGGGGGCCAGGGAGGATCATGCCATCTGGGAGGCCGGAGCGTGATTTTGGGGAGAAAAGGGCATGAGTTTGGGGTTTGAGAAACTCGTTCTAAAACCACAGCTGTCTGCTTACTGGCTGCCGGCCCAGGTCGCACGACCGCTCTGTTCTCCCTTTGGTCTGTGACACACTTGCCTCGCGATGTTTAGGACAAGCGGAGACCTGGCACACAGCAGGTGCTCAGGGAAGGAGGGCAAAGATTCTCTCCCAGCGCCGCCTGGCCGGGCATGTCCAGACTTGGCTTTCTGAGGCTGCACTGGGGAATTTAGTGCATTTTGCAAGCTCTGGGTTAGTATTACGCGGCGGTTAAAAGGGCACGACCGGTCACTTGGGTTTAAATCCCAACGCTGGCCTTTATTACCTGTGTCACTTTGTGTTTCTTAAACCCCATGGACGCAGTTTCCTTAGTCCATAGATGGGAATGATAGCGCTGCCGCCGTCACCGAGTTACCGTGAAGGCTGGCCGTGTTAATCCCCGAAAGCGCTTAGAGGATGAAGCGCACGCGTGTACAAACGTGTGGCCTCGCTGCAGAGGCATAGTAGGGCCTGCGGGCAAGCCCAGGTGAGAACTCCGCCCGCGCACTCACCTGCGGCCCGCCGCGCGCTGCTCTCTTCTCCGCCCCCTGGCGGCTAGGAAGGGACGGTGCTGACCGCTCCGGCAGCTACAGTCTTGCTTTCCACGTGGGACACCTGCGCCAGGCCCGTGCTGTTCCACGGTCGCTCTGCGCTTGTGGTTTTGCCTGTCCTTCTTCCTCTGGGGTAGCTGGTCAGTGAGGGTTGCAGGCCGAGTGATTTCAGCCGCTGTCCCCCTTTTTTTTTTTTTTTTTTGAGGCACCGCTAGTAAAAAATGAAGGAATTCAGCCCTTCCCATGTTCAAAATGCTGTGAATTTGGTATGGCGTCCAACACAGGCCTTATGAGCACTGGGCAATCTTGTTCTCAGCAGTTAGATATTGCAAAAGCCCCGCTGCTTCGCTGCTGATGCACAGAATCACCATTGTTTTGCAGTGTATACCCTTCATTCCTGAAGCCCGAGCAGTGCTTGACCTGGTTGACCAGTGCCCGGAGCCGGTCCAGAAAGGGAAGTTCCCGGTCATTGCCATCGAAGGCCTGGATGCCACAGGTAGTATTACCTTTGAGTTATAGGCAATGCAATTAATTGCTCCCTTGCGGGAATAGATGGGTCTTAAGTAAAACTTGATAGAGTTCAATTCATAAGCTTCATGTCCGTCTCTAGTGTGTGCCAGGCACGGAGCTAGGCAGGCCTGGGATGTGAAGATGAATAAGACCTTCGGTGGGGGGCCAGGGGAGGGGGGGAGGCCAGAGGAGGGGGGCTGGACCTCAGGTGCTCTGGTGACCAGTAGAAGGCCCTTAATGCAGCCATGGTGTGGGGAACAGAGCTGTGGTCACGGGCAGCTCTGGAAGAGCTGATGCCTGGACGGCGTTTTCCGTACATATGAGAGCAGTACAGGTGAGGAAGGCAGGAGGGGTCCTTCCTGACAGAAGGAACAACATGGGCGAAAGTGCAGGGATTTGAGTCAGCCTGGGGTATCTGGGAAGCGTGGGCCCTTCAGAGGACCCTTTTGGAGCAAAACTAGGAAGAGCTAGGCAGCTTTGGAGCTGCCAAACGGATACTGAAACACAATGACAGCTCATGCTTAGCCCAAAACACAAAAAGCAGGAGAAGCGAGGTGCCAGGGGCAGCCGGATATAGCCAAGGACTAGGTCAAGGTGGAGCCTGGGGAAGAGATCACATGGTTCAGCATGAGGCGGGGCTCCCTCCGGGGCAGGTGGTAGTGTTTTGAGGAACCAGGTGGAGCTTTTCTCAGGCCTGGAAGTCTACGCCAGAGTTTATCATTAATTAGTAAACAGAGCACCATTTTGCATTTCTTAGAAGTGTTGTGATACCACATAGAGGAAACCCTGGTTCCTAAAGGTCTGGGTTTTTTGTTTGTTTTGTTTTATTTTTGTTTTCTTTTTTTTTTTTTTAAATCCAGAATCATCATAAGTAATGAACTGCTTTGATTTGCAGGTAGATAGAGTGTCTTTGGTCTTTGTGGGCTAATATGAGCATTTGGGACTGCTGTGGTGGCTGTGGTAACGAAGCCTATGTTTGCCTTTTCCGCAGGCAAAACCACTGTGACCCAGTCAGTTTCAGACTCACTCAAGGCTGTGCTCTTAAAGTCGCCACCTGCTTGCATCAGCCAGTGGAGGAAAATCTTTGATGACGAACCAACTATCATTAGAAGAGCTTTTTACTCTTTGGGCAATTACATTGTGGCTTCTGAGATAGCTAAAGAATCTGCCAGATCTCCTGTGATTGTAGACAGGTAGGTAGAAAGATGCTGTGAGTTTGTCATTTTCTCCCAAACGTGTAAGTGTGTGTGCCCTTACACGCAGGTATATGCCTGTGTTTTAAGTCAAACTGTGTTATGGTAATAATGGGAAAAATGTCTATGACTTGCTAATTACCTACGCCACAGGCAGGCATTTTGCTAAGCACATGCATGTATTATACCGTATCTGGAACAATTACATGGTTAAGTGGATGCTAAGTGTTATCCCTGGTTCACCGAAGAGAAGCACAGGTCTCACAAGGGTTGAGGAACTTGCCGCTGACTGAGGAAACAGCGCGCTGAGGACATTGACGAAGCCTCTGCTCTAGAAATCGATTCTCTCAGTAATACGTTTGTTCGCCGGCTCATTTATAAAACATGTATTGGGTGTCTGCTGTGGGCCAGAGACTGTTCTCAGTTTGGGGGATTCTAGGTACGTGAGCTGGACGATGGTGCTTTGTGTCACGGAGCGAACATTCCGTCGCAGCTGCGTGGTCTGGTGCGCACAGACACGTGATCAGATCAGAGAATGATAAACGCCCTGACGCAGATAACTCTGTGGGTTTGGCCGAGGATGGCCTCTCTAAGGAGGTAATGTTGATCTGAGTTCTGAAGGCTCCCAAAGAGATGGGAATGGAAACTGTGGAGGACCAGCGTATGGGAAGAGGAGTCAGCAGGAGCAAAGCCTGCAAACAGAAAGAAGGTAGCACCGTCCAGGACTAGAAGCAGGCTTTGTGACGAGCACATGGTGGACGAGGGGGTGCTTTCCAGAGGAATGAACGTGGCGGGGGATAGGACAGCACGGCCCGGGGGCCAAGGCAGTACAGATTTTATTGTGGGTGCAGAGGGGAGCCATTGGAAGGTTTCAGATAATGGAGTGACATAAACTGATGTAGATTTTAAAAATGCCATACCTAAGAAATAGATTAGAATACCCCAAGAATGATTGAAGTGTAGGGCAAGCAAATCATCCCTGGCTTAAGATCACCCAACCCGCTGATATGGAAATTACAATCACGGTGAGATCCCATTTTGCTCTCATCAGGTTTGTGAGAACCAATGAAAATGTGCTAAGACTCAGAGCTGGAGATCATGGATGGGTAGAAGCCCTACAAGGTGCTGGTGGGGCTGGACACTGGGCTCAGAGAGCGGTCTGTAACAGGGCAGCAAAGTGAACACTGCTTCTGCCTCCTGAAGAAATGCAAGAGTTTCTTTTTTGTTGTTGTTTATTTCTTTTTTACAATTTTATTTTTTATTTAAATTCATTTAATTAGCGTAGAGTGCATTACTAGTTTCCGAGGTAGAGTTCAGTGATTCAACGGTCTTATATAATACCCAGTGCTCATTGTAGCACATACCCTCCCCAAAGTCCATCACCCAGCCACCCCACCCCCACCCGCTTCTGCTCCAGCAACCCTCTCTCAGCTGTGTTCATAATAGTGAAAAGTTAGAAAAACTGAAAGCCCATCCGTCGAAGGAATCACATGTAAGTACTCACGTATTTCTGAAATGGAGCACCATTCCACAACATCAGCCAGTGCAACATCCGTGTGCGTAAAATGCAAAGCCCTGGTTTCAACAGCGAAAATCGAGTTGCAGATAGATGTTCAGTAGAACACGTGCCAAGTAATAACAAACTGTAGAGTATGGAGGGGAGAAAGGATAGGGAATGGATTTAACAGAGTGCTAAGGGGAGAGAAATGAGGTTGATACCCAGCACAAGAGGCCTCCCGCTGCAGTTGAACTATGGCTTAGCGTTCAGGGGATGTGCACTGCTCTCTGCAATTTTACTAATATCTGGAAAGATAAGCAGTGGTATCGAAGTAGGACAAGTCTTCAGGAAATAGCACTAATCATAAATGTAAATCTCGAGGAATTTCAAGCAGTGAACATACCCAAGTCCCACAGCCAGACTTGGAACGTCACCACACCCCATAAAGCCACAGGGTTCTCCTTCCCAGTCCCTGCCCATTCTTCCCTACCCGCTTCACCCTCCCCCTGTAGTAACCGCAGCCCTGACCTCCATCACCCAGGAACTGTCCCATCTAGTCTTGACCTGCATTAGTGTTTGTATCTGACTTCTGTCTTGCCCCATATGAGACTCGCCTTGCTGCTATGAACATGTATATATTTTTTTAATAGAGTGTGCAGGGTGGGGAGGAGTGGGGTGGGGAGGGGAAAAAGGGGAAGGAGAGAATCTTAAGCAGACTCCGTGACTGGATCTCATGACCCTGAGATCATAACCTGAGCTGAAACCAAGAATTGGACGCTCCACCAATCGAGCCAGCCAGGCGCCCCTAGGGATATTATTCTGTACATGACTTTGGTGCGGGTACATATGCTGTTCTGCTGTGTAGATTTCCAGGAGTGGAATTGTTCATGTGTGTTTTTATTGCAAAAAGTTTTCTGAAGTGGTTGGAACCGTTCACCGTGCCCTCTCCCCACAGCCGTGTTTGAGAATTTCCTGTGGCTCATGTTCTCGTCAACATCTAGCATTGCCCTCCTTTATTCAAGGTCTCTACTGATTCCCAGTGGCTACATTGATCAGTGAAAAGCTAGTTTGCCACATCTGGAAACCTCTACCCCTTCCCTGAAATTTCTTTCTCTGTACGCTTTTCTGTATCTCTGAAATATTCCATGAGAAGGCGATTTGCGGCGTGTGTAGGGAACAAAGTGGGAGGTGGTGGGTTGCCAGGTAAGAGGAACAAAGCAAAAATAAGTTAGAAGGCCAGTGTTCTCATCTAAGCGGCAATGCCAGCAGGTGGTTTTAACACTGGGGATGGCAAGATCATTACTGCAAGGTTGCGAGTTAGAGGGGATCCTGGAGAAGGGTAAGAAATTGTATTCCTTTGTAGGACTTCTTTGCCAGTGGGATGTTTTTACCCTCTTATTAATGGGTCTGGATCTACCGTATTTGAGATATTTTTTTAGACCATGTCCTTTCTCAAGAAGACAGATTGAACTTCTCCTAATATAGGGAGACTCCCTGAGGCACAGGATTTCTTCAGACATCCCAAAGTCCTGGAGCTGTACTGGCTTTTGCGTGTAGACAGATACCTATCCTCTCTGCTCCTGGTTTCCTAATCTGCCCAGTGGAGATACTCCATATCCCTTCCCTGTCCACCTCTGAAACTTTGATGAATGTCCAGTGGGTTGGTACAGGGTGGAAGTGCTTTGCAATAGGAAATTGCCATTAAGATATAAAGCATTATTATATAAGCTATGTACAATGCGTTAGCAAATTGCCTTTGATCTGAACCGATGTGGCTTGCCTGATGGCAGGAATGGAAAGTTCTAAATGGTGGAGAGCCTGAAATTGATGTCCAGAGGGTATGATTATTTAAAACGAGCCGCAGCATTGTCAGGGAGAGAACTCCTGCTATAGAAAACGGGCTCTCATTCTTCCCTTGCTTTATCTCCTTTGTGTCTGTGAATTGTCGGCAATTTTGTTCTCTAGAGAGATACTGTATCACCTTGTCAAATGAGAAGAAAAGAGCGCTTATTTGTTGTCTGGGTGGGTTTTGTTCATGTGTAAAGATTTTAATGAAACCCATTTTAGACCACACCATCATCTAGCTGAACAAACGAGGGCAGCAGAGTCGTCTTTGATGGTGACTGTGGTTAAGGTTGGCAACTTAATCACCCTCATTACCTTTAAAAATCTATTCTTGCTGATGGTTTTTCTACAAAAAGAAGGCTTTTAAAATGAAGATGATATCAGCCTCTGTATTCATAGCTGAGTGTTTAATTCAGTGAACACGGGACACGTGCAAAATGCGGAGCAAATTGTCGTTTGGTTGCCAAGAAAGAGAAGCCTGGACTTGCAGGGATGTCTTCAGCTTAGGGGATAAGCCACATCTCATAGAGGATGGAAAGCGCATGATTCTAGGTGGTGAATCGGGGACCTGATAGAGAGGAGGCTGGGGTTTTCAGTGCACACTTCTGGAGGTGGATGAGGGCCTGGAAGGGTGGACGGTATTGGGAGTGATCGCCTCCCCAATTAATTTTTTGGGGTCTTTTTCGGTATTGTCTGTATTACCACATTTGAAAATGCAGCTTTAGTGATAATCCGTGTCCAGTAAGAATAGATATTGTCTTCTAATGATGGGGTGATACAGTTTGTAAAGGGTTTATCTTTTTTTTTTTTAATAGCAACTGTGGAAGGAAAACAAAGCTTGCATGTTTTTCATTTTCCAGGCGGGGAAATTGAGGCTGTAGTGGCTTAAATGAGTTACCTATATCCACAGAGCAAGTAGGGGGCAGGGGATAAATCGATCTGCAGCTTGGGTAATGCTGTGAATTCATTTCATAGAGTCTAGTACATCCTTTTCACTCTGCAAAGAAGTTCAAAAATAAAATGATCAATAATTTAGGATTTTATGTATTATTTCTTTTAAAAAATTATTTATTTTTTAGAAAGAGAGAGCGAGCACATGTACATGAACATGGGGGAGGAGGCAGAGGCACAGGGAGAGGCAGAATCCCAAGCAGACTCTGCACTGAGCACAGAGACCCACGCACGGCTCGATCTCACAACCTTGAGATCATGACCTAAGCCGAAATCAAAAGTCAGATGTTTAACGGGCTGCGCCACCCAGGCATCCCCAGAACTTAGCATTTTGAAACATTGAAGGCAGCAAATTGAAAATACGGACAGGGGTGGGGCCATAGGTTATTCTCTTCATTGGGATGTTGATAATCATTTCATAAATATCCGTTGTAAGCGATATTCCTTTGCTACTGAATTTAAAGTTTTGCATTTAGTCTCTCAGACTTGGAGTATGATAGGAACAGGGCAAGATTCTATTAAGCTATGCCAACTCATAAACTGATTCCGATTCGTTCATTTGCACACTCAAAGAACACTTATTGCATGTTTACTGCGTGCCAAACACTGGTTTCAGTTTTGGGAATGCAGAGGTGACTAGAAATGGAATTTTCTAAGGGAGGAGTTGAAAGAGGTCATACTTACAGACAAATTGCTTTTCTTTACTCTTCTGTAGAGTCAACAGTGAAGGACATTGAGGGCCCAGAGGAGGGAACCAGGAGCTCTGCTTGGGGGTTCCATCCGAGTGGGGCTCTGCAGGCAGAGTAGGAGTTTGCTCGCTGAGAAGCTCACTCCAGCTGGAGGAAAGAGCATGAAGACATGCTTGTGTGATGCAGTGCACATAGGTGTACACCGTGAATGCTGTTCTGTGTCTTGGGCGGGACGTTTCCGGCAGGCAGTGAAAAGCCATGGGGCATTTTGAAATAGATTTTCTTTTGCGGTGGTGATTTTCTTCTCCTCCTCCTGCCAGCATTTAAAAGGAGCCTGTCAAGAGGGCCCTACTTCACTCAGGGGGGATGTCAAGGAGTAGTGGAGGTCATATTTGGGTTTATTTCCCCCCTGACGGGTGCCAATGCACAGTGAGCAGCTGGGCCCTGGGCAGGACAAGGGCCACCTCACCAGGGCCCCCAGAATGTGGATTTCATCTGCAAACTCCACTTTAAAACAACTTAACACTGAATGGACCCGCTGATTTTTATCTGGCCAAGACACGAGATTAGATGCAAGGGGACTACGAGACATGCCGTCCTCCCTTTTACAGAAGGCGACATAGGTCAGGCCAGAGAGATGCAACCGTGTCATCTTGTGACACACGTGGGGTCCGCCGAGTCTCCATCACTCTGTGAAGAGCCCGCTGCATTCTCACTGTGGCTGTTGGCTTTGGTTTACTCTTCACATTTTATAAACACTTTAAAAATAAGATTTAGGGGCACCTGGGTGGCTTAGTCAGTGAAGCTAAAAGTCTGCCTTTGGCTCAGGTCATGATCCCAGGGTCCTGAGATCGAGTCCCGAGTCGCATGGGGCTCCTGGCTCAGTGGGGAGCCTGTTTCTTCCTCTGCCCCCCCCCACTTGCGTTCTCTTTCACTCACTCTATGCTCTCTCTCAAATAAAAAAAAAAATCTTAAATAAAAAAAACAAGTTTTAGTTTTGTTAATTTGGTTTATGCAACGCTGAGGACACTTGAGCCTTTGCTGGTTTCAGCCTCTTCCCCAGCTGATCTTCAGGTACACCTTGACCTTGGCCTCTGTGGGTGCAGAACTCACTCCTGCCCTCCTTCTCAGGTACTGGCACAGCACAGCCACCTACGCCATAGCCACCGAGGTGACCGGGGGGCTCCAGCACCTGCCCCCGGCCCATCATCCCATCTACCAGTGGCCCAGGGACCTGCTCAAGCCCAACCTGGTCCTGCTGCTCACAGTGAGTCCCGAGGAGAGGATGCATCGGATGGAGGGCCGGGGCATGGAGAGGACCAGAGAGGAAGCTGAGCTGGAGGCCAACAGCATATTCCGTCAAAAGTAGGTGTCCCGGGGTGCATGGCGGAGGATCCTGGTCATGGTAGTGAGCCGGGATCAGCTCTGACCTTAGGAATGCGGAGAAAATGACATCGTTCCCATTTTCCAAACCCACGAGACAGTATCCTCCGAGCTGGCTTCAGCTCCTTCTGACGATGTCGTTCCCCCAGGGCTTCAGCATCGTGGCTGTGGGACTGGGCCCCAGACCTTCCTTCTGGTCCTGGCTGTGCCGGGAACAGTGTGGACCTGGCTGAGACGATGCACGTTCCTGGGTCTCGGCTCCCCAGTCATAATCTAATGGGCACGGAGTGCTGGGAGCCCGCGGTGACTTTTCCTTAGTGTCAGGTTTTTGGGTTCCGATGCTCTGATCCTTGGAAGGGAACATGGACCACACTTTACTGTTTACAAAACGGAGGCTCAAAGGACTAAGTGATTTGTCTAGATTCACGCAGCTACACTGTGGTGAAACGGGTTTGAAATCACGGTCTTTCTGGTTTTCGAGGTAGTGGTTTTGTTGTCATTCGAAACCGGCAGGAGAGTCTGGGCTGTCCTCTTGCCTGATGGCTGAGCCTGAGCCAGCCTGGGAGGGCAGGTTCAAAGAGCCAAAGCAGAGGAGTTTAGATAAATAAACAATGAGAGCCAGGCTATCCTAACACAGTCCTGCTAGAAGTAACCCTGCAACAGCAGTGCTGTGTGCGGACAAGCCACGTCAGACCATTTACTTATACTGACGCAATTAGGCATCGTGACACACTCGCCAGGAAGGCGTGATTTCTGTCCTCATTTTACAGATGAGAAGATGGAGGCGGAGGGGAAGGGAATTGGGTGAGTTCACTCAGCGAGGAAGTGGTAAAGGGCACGTGTTGTAGACAAAGGCCGGCCCGCTTCCGTCAGGCGGTCCACACACTCATTCGCAGGCAGGGAGGCTAGCTCACACCCGAGGGGGAAGTGGAAACCTGGTGCAGTTTTAGCAGACTCGGCCGTGGAAACAGTGCCGTGGCTGAGGACCGCTGGCTTGTCTGAGATCTTCGGTGCAGACCATGGGGACATTTCCCGGTTGTCCAATCAGTTAATCTCTTAGAGCCTCTGCTACTTTCTTTGCAAAATGGGGGAGGACCTGGTTCCCTTCCTGAGCTTACTCCGGGTATGAAACCAGAAGAATCATGCAGAATGCTGATGCTTGGTAGGTAATAGGTATCAATAAAGGCTAGCTATGGAGCCTTATTATAAATTTATGATTTATTGAACAAAATGTATCCAGTGTCTCCTGTGGGCAAAGCCAGTGGCCGAGGGGAAGAGTGAGATAAACCAGATGGGGTCCTTGCTGTAAGCTCTGTACATCATGGTAGGAAAACAGCGTTTGCATGGAGAGCTGTGTTAAAAGATAAAGCAACCCTTTTCATTGTGCCTGTCCCCAGGGTAGAAGTGTCCTATCAGCGGATGGAGAACCCTGGATGCCACGTGGTTGATGCCAGCCCCTCAAGAGAAAAAGTCCTCCAGACGGTTTTAAGCATAATCCAAAATAATTGTAATTAATTGTAATGACTCCAAATTGTAATTATCCATTTTGCTAGATTTGATGTTGTTTGATGCATCTAGGCCCATGACTGGTTAGTTGTTTTTCCCAGATTTCTGTTGCATAAACAGAGTGTGTCCTAGAAAAATGGAGACCAGACATTTTGGTTTTACTTAAACCATTATCCTCCCTTCTGACCAATGGACCTATCAAGGTTGAGACTGTCATGTTCCAGCCAGAGATCAGTGGTTGCTTTTTCAAGTATAACAAACTTTTTTTTTTTAATATATTTTTAACTACATTCCTACCAAATACTTCCAAGTTTTGTCTTATCCAGAAAGCATGAGGGACACAGAAGCAACCAGGATGATCTCCCAAATCAACAGAAGCCCCTTCAGCCTCTCCCATGCCTATACCTGGGCCACTGATGGGATCTCGATGTAGTAGACTTGCCTTTTTCCCCATATGGCCACACTCCATCAATGGGGACTCAGGCCTGATCCTTGAGCCAAGTGCCCCTGAAGAAAGGGTCCATGTGTCCTGGCTGTCTGAGGATACTCCCACAGAGCCATCTTTGGGTAGGGGACACTTACAAAGAAGACCTGGGACTTGTGCCCTACTGGCCCCGAGATTGTCCTCTTGGTTAGCATCTATAAGGTAGATCCAGAGATGGCCAACCCAAGATGCTCTAAGTACAAACACACCAGGCTTCTTTGAATTATGGTCTCTTTATTTATATTTCTTTCCTTCCCCCTGAAAACATGGCTTTGGATATAATGAGTGTTTTGGACTGAGCTGGATGCCTTAAACTTAGCCAATCGAGCAATATACTTGTATTGATATTTACATCATGTTTCTCCTCAGCGTAAGGGCTCTGCTTACTAATTAAAATTGAAGCCAAGAAGCTAAATGCAGCGCTTGTTGTGTATTTTCATTACACAGATTTAATTTATCTCACTAAATAAGCACAGTGGATCCTGGAATGGGATTTCTTAGTAAATTATCTTGCACTTGAATGTCTTATGCTTACGCATGAAATCAGCTTTGAGATCTGTTTGCCTAGGGAAAAAGAAAAGCTGAGGAAAGAGGAAATTTAATAACTCTGTGGCCTGGGAGAGTCACTTGACATCAATAGTCCATGTAACTTGATCTAAAAAGTGATAATAATTCTTTATTTGTCCTAAGTTTTAGGTGATGACCTAAAATTCCTTCCAGTTCTAAGATAGGTGAAGTTTGTAAATTGAACATTCCCCCCAAATAATTACATTTAAGGCCTTATCAGGTTTATCATACAGAATTTTAGATTGTAATCAAGTTTAGTATTAATAACTGTATCATACTATTTTTCAAGAGAATTAGAGATAATTTTTACATAATATATTTACATATATAAATATATAATTGGTTTCAGTTGAAAATATTTTTTAAAGCTAATGAATAGCATCATGAAAGATGTGATATCTATGTCATTGGTGTTATTTAAACAGTTTGAAAAGTCTATGTTGGCAGTCTAAGAAAACAAACACTTTATGCTTTCTTTCTGTACCTTTCAAAGGAATAAAGTTGCTGTGATTTTCTAATTTATGATGTTGTCACAAGTGTATTTTGGTTGTTTAGAGGTGCTAGTCCAGATGGGGACTTTTGGTCAAGGAGGTGGGAAGGTGTGAGCTCGTGGGCCAGGGGGAAGCTGTGGTCAAAGTGCTTTCAGATGAAGGGAGGGCAGTTTTGGTTTGTTTAAAAAAATTGTTTCAGGAAAGTAGAATCCTTTCTTCATGGCCAATATTAAAAAGAAGAAATAATTCTTTGTGCTCTTGGTTTTTTTGGGACCCTAATAGGTATATGATTTATAAGCATGAAATAAGACGGTGACTCCTACCCAGCAACAGATGACAAGGAATCATTTGCTTGGCTCCGTTTCATGACAAGCTCATTCTCCTTTCTGTTCTTGTGACAGACCTTTCGTGGTCCCAAATATTTATTCTCCCTTTCTTCCACAGTAATAGAATGTTTGACTTGACCCATGGCTGCCAAGAATCACGAGTACATTTCCAGAGCTTCCGTGTGGTGAGAGTGGCCAACTGGTGGCCACTTACGGGTTCTTCCAGAAATCTGTGAGCAGAGGGGCTTATGAGATGCCCCTTCCCCCTTTTCACCTTTCACGTGGCCTGGTATTCGGTGGGTGGTGATAGCAAGCCTTCTGAGTACTAAGAGAGACGACAGTCTGAATGAAGGCTGCTTTTCCTTATGAAGGCGTAGACGTGGGCTGGGTGGGGATGCGTGTGGAACCCTGGGGAGGGGCTGTGAGGCAGACGCAGGACACGTGCACAGCTTCACTGTCCGCCTCCTCCTCACCCTGCCTCCCTCAGTGGCACCTGCCTGCTTACTTGAGAGTGGAAAGTCCTTTTTTGCTGAGCCTTCTCTCTGAAATCTGTCTCTTCTTGGAGCAATGGGGTAGAATCTTTTTTTTTTTATCAATGAGTTTTTTTTTAAAGCCATCTCTATATCCAATGTGGGGCTTGAACCCACAAACCCCGAGATCAAGAGCTTCATGCTTTACAGACGGAGCCCTCAATTACGGCACATCTTTAAAGTGTTTAGGCCCTGGGATCTTTCTGGAATGTGTACCAAGGAAATAATCAGTGATACACATATAAATGTTATATATGCATAATGTATTTCCAGTAATTGGGGAATATTTATCTGCATAATGTACATTTATGTATAATATGCATTTGTTAAATACATTAGGGTAAATCCTTTTAATGGAATCCTGAGCAGAACACAAAGCACCTAAGAACGTGTAAAGCAGCAAAAATGCTTCCCTCTGAGAGCCAGTGATTTAAATTTCAGCCAAAAGTGAAGATATAGCTAAGAGTATCTTACAACACTTTGCTAGGTTGGCGGCTCCAGAACGGAAGCTCTGTGCCCATTAGAGCAGTCTGATTGCAGGTGTGCTGAAAGACGGGGGTTTTTGGCCTTAGGCTTTCTTCATATGCAAGCTGCTCTAGGAGCCGGCCACTCAGCCATGCAAATATATCCACCGGCAAGTCCATTTGAACCTTCAGACTTCGGTAAAAGTTGTTCTGTTCCTATACCTAGGTATTTTCCGTGTATGAACAGGGAGAGGAGAAAGGGATGCTGGCCTCCCACCTCCTCCTGCCCCCCGCAAGGGTACTCCTTGTTTCCTCCCTTCAAATGCTTCATGAAATTGATTCAACTTAGAGCTGTAACCTACAGCTAGGAGAAAATGTTTTCCCGTCGTGTTGCCTATCGATAATTGGGTCTTTCTCATGAGCACTGTAACTGGTTAGTAGAGGAAAGATATTTACTCCTATCAGATTCAAACTTAATATAACACGAGCTTTTAATTTTCCTTATAGGTAATGCCCACTCTTGGAGAGAAAATGCTCAGTGGATCAGATTCTCCCATGTTCCAAGCCTCACCCTGGCCCCTCTCCAAGATGGCATCTGGGCGCCTGGATGAGGGAGACCATTTAGGCCACCATGGGGATGAGGGGAAATGGGTCTCTGGTCCCATTAGCCTCTCTCTAACTGTGCGTGGTTGGCCCGGCTGGCACAGGCAAGTGAGATTTTTTTTTCTTGTAGCCCTTCATGATGAACTTGGCCTCTGTGGGATCTCACTGGTGTTTGGATCTCTGGAGTCTGTCTTCCGTGCAGCCCCAGCCATAGTCAGCCTCGTGGCCAGTTCAGTTCCAAATCCTCCTCTCTGGGGGCTCCTGGACCCTCAGGGCATAGTCAAATGTCAAGGAGCAGTCAAGCAAGTAGATGTCAAGGCCTCCTTTGCTCAACCATTCTGCACATTCTGGTTTATTCTGACATGCCTTTAAGTTGGTTCAGAGAAGTTTGAGGTCCCAAATGGAGAGAGAGGTGCTTTCGATGTCCACTCACTGAACTGATCCTCTCGGGTCTAGGGCAGAGCCTGGAGGCAGGAAACTGGAGGGCATGGGCCTCAGCACCATGAATCCAGCCAGCATAGAAATATTTGATTCTACTTACACACTAACTTTTCATCATAGTGATTTTTAGATGATCGAATGTGAGAGCCTTTGAAGTTACAGTCTTTCCAACAGTGTCAGAGTGCTTACCCCCCTCTCTGCCTCTTCTGAAGTAGACTAAGGAGTGCTTCTCGGGAGAGGGAGATGGCATCAGATGCAGAGGCAGACACACATGTCATCAACATCCTCGCCACACCTTCTGTGGCTGGTGTGGATGTTTAAGGCAAACCAGGGTATGGTTTATGCTGCCTGGGGGTGTCGAGAACCGTTTCAGAGAGATGGAAACAAACCTTCCCATGAAACAGGTGTGAGTACACGTTAAACTGGATTGACATGAACATGTCTTGCCAAACACTGTGTCTTGTTGTTGAGGGCTAGGTCACGTGTCCTATTCAGTCAAATGTTTCGACCCACTAATTTTTTTTTAAGATTTTATTTATTTATTTGACATAGAGAGAACGAGAGTGAGAGTGAGAGAGAGATCAAGCATGGGCAGGGGATGGGGCAGAGGGTGGGGGAGAGGCAGACTCCCTGCTGAGCAGGGAGCCTGATGTGGGACTTGATCCCAGGACCCTGGGATCATGACCTGAGCTGAAGGCAGATACTTAATGACTGCCCTTGACCCACTAATTTTTATACTTGAACTGACTTTAAGATTCTTCTGGGCACAAATCAAATACAAAGTATCTAATTTGGACCTGAGTATTCTAGTTGAAGGCTCTACATGGGTCTAAATCTAAATTTTATTGCTAATCTTGAATTTTTTTAAACAAAGTAAAATATATAAGACAGTTGGGCACTAAACCTGCAATGCATTATGTTTGGTTTGATGCCTGCTTGTGACTTTGTCATGCCAGCTCTTTTCCTCTAGTTTGCCTGATGCAGACTTACAATTCCATCCAAAGCAAATATAGCAGGAATCCACTAGAGGGAGGAAAAGAACCAATTTTGAACATTTCCAAGGGAGCTGGTCTTGTGCAGAGATAATCACTTCCCTCATTACACACAAACCGTGCTTGGAAAAACAACAGTGGTTTCTTTCATTTTTATTTAAATGTCTGCTCTAATGGGAGAACAAAGGACAAAACATGGAACATTTCTAGGTCAAAGTAGCACGTCTTTAAAAGTGGCTAATTTCTTGCTTCAAGAATTCTAAATACGGCCCCGGGGTCAGAAAAATATTCAAAGAAAGACCTTAGTGATCAGCGAACTCAATCTCTTTCTTTAATAGTTGTGGAAAATGAGGCCAGGAGGAAGACTTGTGCTGCCTAGGGTCGTAGGATTTGTTAGCAGCAGATGCAAGAATAGAGGAAAGTTTTTGGAATCTTTCTCCAGTGCTCTTTGTAACACAGTAGATGGTGTCAGCAAATCTAATGTGTTGAATGTCATATGCACCTCCATAGACATATTTGTGTACGTCCATAGGCAAGCATACATTTTCTTCCCTGTGAGGTTTATGATTTGAGATCTGGCTTTAAGGAACATTCTGGGGCTTTTATGTGTCCTTGTTTATTTGCTTTTAAAACCTCCCCTCCTGAACCCCTTCCTTATATAACTCAAAATGCAAACGGCACTGTGCACATAGGGTATGGCTAATGGATTCCACAAGGTCCGGGCTCTTGTAATTATTGCCCAATCACCAAAATACCATGGTTTAGAAAACACATCGTAAACTTCCCTGTGAAGCCTCCAAGATTTTTATTAACATGCATGATATTAATGGCTGTGCTTATTCTGCCATAATTGAGGGTGTGTCCCATTTTTCTGAAATAATAAGGCATTTGGAGGAATTATCAAATTTCACTTTTGGCTGAAGCTGGTCTATAAGCTCTTCCAACTGTAATGCATTCTGTGTTCATCTTTAGGGTAGGAAAGATTGTTTTCTGAGTTTTAA